TAGGAGATGGCTTTAAATTGGCGCTAAAAAAGAGTAATTTTTAATAATTTTATGAATGTAGTTTATATATGGTTGTTATATTGACAGCAGTTCTATGTTACTATTATAATATAAATCACATGAAAATATCTGGTTCAACCTCTCTGCTTACGCTATGTAGGCGTTGTGACGCACTTTTTGTCTGACAAAAGTTTTTATTACTTGCCAGGAACAGCGGTGTATATATACACATATATACATATATATATATATATATATATATATATATATATATAGATATATACCATTGTTTTTATGTAGCTTTACGCGAGCTAAACGTTCCGTCAAAGCACTCAGCTAGCTCTACCTATAAAAACTGTATCCATAAAACATCTTGATTAATATATATAAAAGCAGTCAGTGGTGGCCCACTTGAATATGTACGCTGGCTATACATACTCGCATGCATCGTTTGCCAAAAGTCTTTCGTCTCTTCCACTTGATAGCTCTTGTACCCGCAGCACGGCAGTAATGGAATGGATCACTGTCAAATTGTACACCTCTAAGTTGATGAAATGAACAACCACCAGCAGTTCTTTGACCTCGACCTTTAAGTATGTGCATATAAAATCAGTTGTATCTGACGAACAGCATCTTCGTCAGAAATAATTCTTGCTTAACATTGTAAAAACTTGCGATCTGCATGAAAAAAGATTTATTAAAACCCGCGGAATTCTTAAGCCTAGTTTATACAAAGATTCATTGTTTCCGTTCCATTAATAAACCTCTCTTTCATCTTTTTCATTTCTTCTTTACCCATTTCACCTTAAGACGACAGCATCGCTCATGTGAGTGCAAACGCTCATAAAAGTATACCCTCGACTTTCCCATGAAGACGCTCGGCAGCTATCTTACCGCTGCGTACGAGGCCTAGCCGATAAAATGCTGACTTTGAGAATCGGAGCTGGGGGGAGTGCCTGAACTGTTGGCTTGAAAGCTTATCTGGCTGATATGGACCTTTTTCAAAATCAATAATCACGCGGCTGCTTTAAAAGGGTCTCATTCAACATAAAGGCACGACATCTAGTTAAGTGAAACGACAACAACTGAGGATAAATGAAACCCTTGTATCCATTCCATTAAAATGACTGTGTAGTTGCGTGCAGGCTTTCTAAGAGCATCATCTCCCAAGCAATCTATGTAAACTAGCAAAGGCTCATATCGACCGCCTATTCTTCCAGCCGCCTCGGATACAATATGTGTCAGTGTCTATACGTTAATTTTCGGTGAGCGCGGGAGAACAACGTCTCACACTGACAATTTTCTTTTAATCTCAGATCACATTCAGAAGAATCACTCATTCGCCATTCATTGATTAAATTCATTATCGTCTGCCCAAAGCAACATCAATGCATATCTGGTAGACAAACTTATTGGTTGATATCTCACTCCTAACTTGAAAATTTGCAACAATATACCTAGACAATGTTGAAATGTGTAACTTCACCTTTAGGGTGTGCGAAAGTGATATCAAGTAACAAGCCCTAGCCGACTTCCATGAATGGCAAATCGATACTGACCTCAGGCCGTTTGTCGACAAATACGTCGTCCTACACTTTGATCGCGTAAATGCGGATCAAACATATGACATTAACAGGTTAGGCCTAACTCATAGTGCTTTTCGAAATTTAGGATCGTTGCAGTTACTGCCTTTGGACTTGGTTCTTCGAGTAGCTTTTTTAACTGCGTTTAGTTTCTTGCATCTATTACAACCTACAAAACATTCGTATCGAGTTCAAGTGTAATGAAAGATAGAGAATTGCTTGAATATCTACGTGAAATTTTGGAAAAGACAGGTAGCCGGCCCACAAATCTAACTGGATAAAGTCTAAATCTACAATCTGCAAATCTAAATATGAGACATTTTAAAGATGAACGTGAGTTCCAAACACGACGTTTTGTTGAGTTTACAACTACAAAATGCCGCGTGATTGATGTAAAATGTACCACGCACACTCTGAAAATGATAATAAAGACTGTTCTAGTGCTTTGTTCTCAGAACTAATAGTGGTTGAGTGATATAATAACTATTTATTATAAAAATAACATTTTTAGTTTATGTAGTACTTGGGTATCGCTGGCGAGACTTCATGCAGTGACCCATGTTAATTAATCAAGTTATTTGCCTACACTGACTGCTAAAGTAAATATATTACGGATGTTAGGCAGTACAATCAAGCTAATTTAGGAATTCTACCAATCTAGGACGTACTTGTGTTTCAGTGTCCTCAAAAATACCACTCCTGTAGTTTATACGACATATTTATTGTAATACATCTAAATTCGAGTGCGTCTACGGTAGATTAGATAGCAATATAATTGCTCTCTGACTGGAAGCTTGCACTTTTGTACCCATTATTTTCAAGCTAGTTATTATATACAGCCGTAGGCATCCTTTCTTCAGTTTTACGTCATTCCAAACTGCATTCACGATCCTACGATGATCATATCATGACCACGTATTATTATTAGGAGTATTAGAAGTGCGTGTATGAGACCTTGCGGAATTTCTGAGACATTTTAAGGGTCAGTGTTTCGTTACTGAAAGATATGCGCATACGAGTGCTATAATCATACGTAAGCTTTCGTATATTGCCAGTTTGATATCTTCACAAACACTGCAATATTGCTAGGTAGGACGACATGCTAAAAAATACGTTGCTGGTTTTTTTTTTGTTGACATTAATATATCTGTTACGAAATAAAGCTGGATTTTTTTCTGTAGATATCACTCATATGGTTGCGGTGTCGTCAAATCAGGTTTGTCGTAAGGCAGCTCTACCATCTTTTTGTTGGGTGTACATACCTTTTTTATATCTTTTTATATGTTTTTCGAAAAATAAATCTGCGAATTATGATCGCACATGTTTATTGTATGGCTGGTCAAATACCTCTATCACTCGTATTTCAATGTACACTAAAAACGTTTCCTTATTTCTGTTTATGTCGCAGGACTATTGTAGCTATATTGTAAACAGGAATATAAGTGAGTATGGCGATTGTATTGACTTCTATATGTATGGTGCAAATAGGCAGTATGACTCTCGAATCACTTGTCATTATGTAGCATTCTAGCCGCTTTACAATCTGACTTCAAACTAAATATGTGGGCATATGCACCACACGCGTATATCTGTATAGATGCGTATGTGCTTTGTCTCCGACCAAGTTGTCATTTTAGGGCAGCTATCGAGCGCCCCCTACACGCTAGGTAACTCACAGCTCCGAGGCACCTGGCGGAGTTATGACATGCATGGTTGGATTTTGAAACGTGTAACCCAAAGGTCACGCTGGCGACTGTGGACGGGAGGTGCCATGCAGGATGTGTACAGCATGATGGGTATTGAAGAGATAGTCCAGAAGGGGATACGTATCCCAGGCGGCTGGTCGCAGAACCTTTCGTTAATGAAACCCGTTTTTGGCAGAACGGCAGGAAGCCTACAATGTATTCTCTGCTTCGTGGATCCACGCCAGGGTGGAAGGCTTGGCAAGTTTAAAACTGCTTAGCATTCAATAGAATCGCTATACGCAAAACCGGGTTCGAAGCAGACAACCTAAAGCAAGCGCGGAGATCAACTATTAAATGATATATGGTTTTTTTTTCGTTGTTCGGTCGTTGATTTCGTTGGTCTATAGCTTGTAAATACGATTGGATAGACTTACAAAATACGGTTGTCCTTTTGGCATAGTAGTGAACTATTTTATTCAGAGATAAATGAGCCGTTTGAATTTGCAGGCTGCTAGATGACCGCCTGTAATCCAGGTGTGTTTTCGCAGAAAGAACAGGACTTCAATTACATACAAATGAAATTTCACACAAATCTGACGTAATTTCAAGTTTTCTGATAAGATCCAATAGGTCTATGTATTAAGCGTTCTGCAATTTTTCCCAAATGGAGCAATAAACTTACATCAGGTTTTATGTGTAGAAAATAGAATCAATTGTACACATTCTCTGCGGATGTCGGAGAATGTTTACAGAAGTCGGAAGCTGTGTAAAGCTCAAGCAAACAAATGTTTCAAGCGTATAGAAGTCTATTAGAACGATATTGGTCCTGGAAAGCCTGCTACAGTGATCCTAGACAAACCTGTCGTGCTCCCCACGTTCTTCTTGACCGTTAGTTAATCGTTTATACTGTTCGACTCCACGGTTACCCACGGAGTAATACGAAGAAATTTTGAGAACTGCGTGACTCTGTCCGACGAAAAAGAGTGGAACCGCAACTAAGGAAATCCTGAGGCCTCCGTTACGACGACGCATCGACTCACACTCTATTGCTCTACAAGCGTCCTTGTCAAAAAAAAAAAAGCTGGGGGTGCGTACTGCTTCAGCCCGTATTCACTGGACCGAATCCCCAGCGATATTTTCTTATTCTTCATACTAATAATAAGTCTAAAGGAAAAACTTTTTCACTCGGTAGAGAAATAACATAAGAGTTGCTAACCGAACAACCAAATTCGAAGTGTCTTGAGAAATGGAAAAAGTAGTTGCATAAATACGTTGCATCCTGTAGAGATTGACTTGAACTAGGACGATTAACTAAATAACTAGTAATCTGGAACAAACGAGCCATTTATTCTTGAACAAAAAGCTAGGTTGTGTTTGTGTGGGGTCTACGTTGAGTGGATGAGCTATGTACCAATCTGAAATAAGACGAAATGCAACGGTTACTTATAGAAAGACCAGCAAATAAGCTAGCAAGTGTGTGAAATGTTGGGCGATTAAGGTTGATTCACCATTCCATTGTAAGTTATTGAGTGATATAAATAGTGGCCATTGTAATTGCCGCTACGCTCTCTCTTTCAAATATATCAGCCTGTGCGGTTGTAGAGGCTAACAGTTTATTCGTCATTAAAAGTATAATAGTGAACATTGAATGGTATTGTCCTAGGCGACAAAAACAGAACAGTCGTGAACATCACGTGTACCGTCTCTTTTCCTAATTGTTCATTCTTTACAGATAATTATGGTGCCCATCTCAGCTGTGGTGGCTTTAGTCCTGTTTTTGGCCTTCGTTCAATTAGCTGATACATACCCTTCAGGCGCTCCACCTAACACTTGCCTGACGCTTCTTCCGCACCACAGTGGAGATCCTCAATCCAAACCTTCACCTTACCGCATTGAAGTAAACTCCAGGGGCAATGAAGTTCAAAGTATGATTCTTTGTTTAAATACAGTATGTAACTTTTTAGACACTTGATGAAACGTATGTTTGTCGCACGAATATTTCTTCATAGCGAAACTTTTAGCGATTTTTCTCCAACGCGACAATTACGAGGAAATTTGAAGATGAAAGCCACCATTTTTAAATATGTAGAGATAAAGTATTTAGTCGAATTAGGTAATTTTCATATAAAACAAACACTCTTTCATTTGATATCAAGAGACTTCATTGAAGATGTTAGATGTAAGATGTTACACACAGGAGTAAACAAACGTTACTGGAAAGGATTGCTCTTCGCTCGAACACAGCTGGTAGCGGACGATCGATTAATTAGACCAAAAGGCCTAATCTGGCGACGACGTTAATCTCTAGTAGAAATTTACGCTTACGACTTTTTTGGCATCTAGATCCATACCTATCAGCATGCGGCGTAGAGGATAACACGAGGTTTATGATCTAATGGATTTAGTGCGTGGCTCCAACGCTGGTAGCTCTGGGAAACATACAACAGAAACTAGTTCTGTACAACAAATCTATACTGTGCATTGTGACCTAAAGTACGGCCTTTTTAGCAACGAAATAACACAGCATTGCGTTACAAATAGACATTAGTAGGCCAACATGGCCTCGGTAACGTGTTTGTCAAACTTTACAGTAATACCTAAATCACGAATTAGCTTCAATGTAAATCTCGGGGAGATTTTTAAAAGTTTGCGTAAAATCATGTTAAATAGATGATAAAAGTGTTCACTCAAGAGCTGATAATGACATTTCGTTGCGGCCATGTCGCGATGGTATCGCGTCACAGTTGCTTCCCGTCAAGGCGATCAAAGACACCATTTCATTTCATATTATTGTCATATGTTGCAGTTGTGCTTCTAGGAATAATCTCTTTGTATTATGTCCTGTGTCGTCCTTTCAACAATGCAAAGCAAGTCACATTGATTGATGCTCATTTTAATTTATTTAATACCTAAACGATGGTACGGATTGATTAGGATGCATATACCGAGCCAACCTTGAAGCACCAGACGATTAATCTTTATCGTATTATAACATTACTATTTTTAGTCATATCTTTCCGCGCTACACATATTCCAAGTTGAGAGCTCCATTTATAATATGTCATTAAATTCGGACGTATTATAAATAGAGGTTCGGAAATATTATTATAAATATTCGCGCGGCTAAAAATTGTTCTTTCAGCAGAGATCGGACTCTAATAACGATGATTATGACATGTATTTAAAACTCTCTAATTTCGATCGCTTCGATCGAGCCGATGTAAGCCTTATATAGAGTCATAAAATATTTAATTATTCACCTAATATACGGTAGATAAAGTTATTTTTCTATAGAAATAGCTTAAATAAAAATGAATTAGGACAGTGTGAAATATGTCACTATTCGTATTAGCCTAAGGGACGCACTCGTTGAACCAACATAAAGTCTAATGCAATTTATTTACAGTCGACCTTGTAGGAAACGAGTCTTTTCGCGGTTTTCTCCTTAATGCTCGTCTCGCTTCGGATCATCAAACAGTCGTTCCTGGCACTTTTTCGTCGTCACTAGATCCTAACGCTAAAACTCTAGATTGTCTCGGAGAGCGCGCTGTGAGTAATTCTATCTGAGCGCTCGAATGAGCTTATCTCTGGTATAGGCATAATCGGTATACCTATAATTTTTGACTTTGAACATTGCTATCTCCTTCTATTATCAATATCATCGCACCAGCTCCAATATTTCAGTCTGGACTTACGCACGCGGACTCTAATGACAAGAGTGCCGTTCGTGCAGTGTGGACGCCTCCTGCAGGATTCAGTGGCCGTGTCATCTTTATGTGCGTATCTGTGCATGTACCTATCGTTGTTGCGTTTTAATTTTATATAAACGATATTAATAATGATTTCACAGAACACAAATAATGCTCGCTTCATCATTACCTTTTAAGCAATCAACGCTTCAAATCTCATCGGTGACGGCATGCTAGTGAAGCACGAAAGGGTACATTTTCCTATAAATAGTTGAAATTCCATTTTGCTTTTAAGCCCACCAGCAATCATAGCAACTTAGCCACCAGGGCTTCTCATAACCGTAGCGTTTCTATTGCTTTACATTCTTTAGGGGTACGGTGGTGAAAACGTTTGACCAGTTCTGGTCAGACCTTAGGTCGTCTGAGGTTGCCGCGCATGGAAGTGGAGCACCTCGACAGAGACCGCGAATTCCAGACAGTGTATACGACAAGTGCGGGCGAAGTGAGGGGTGCTTTGGTTTGCCTGTCAACTGCATTGCTCAAAGAAAGTGTGATGTTGTGCTTGGGTATACGGAAGAACCCAGCTATGGGTAAGTGTGATGATAATGCTTAGCATATTATACGGTCAACCACTGGATGACCGTTTTTTATTACTCGAAACCTACAACTAAGGATTTTAAATCAATTTTACAGTTAGCAAAAATCGCTTGCTGTCCAAGATGTATCTATTTGGGGACATCATTGGTTACTAGTTCGAACTACAGCAAGTTCCTTTAGTTCCAATATATTTAAATATGTAATAAATAACGTTTCATATATCATATACTCGCTAATCTACGAATGATCGGATATATATTGCAGGATATGATAGGCGTTTGTCATGGCACGAAACGTTGACAAACGAAAGTGTAATCTTCACTTTGATAAGCAGTTGGGTACTGGCAAACATTGACATTTTTGGAAGTAGCATTATAGTTATAATGAAATATTCGGGCCTTTGAATGTGGGCGGCCGTATTATAAAATGCCTAAAGCCATGTCCATCGAAGGCCTTCCTTTTCGTGGTGTGTAAAGTATTCGTTTTTGACCCCAAAGATCTGATGACTTCAAGATTTGCATACATGTCGGTAACAAAATTAAATATTACGGACCAACTGTAAAAAGCATTCGATAATATATCAGAATGGTACCGGCAGAACAGCATGTTGATATCAGAGGAGAAGGTCTTCAAGTACGCAGTCGTATCATCCTTCGACACCATCTCGGCATGAATACTAAACGGTGTAATCTAGCTAGTAGTTAGCCGTTGCTAAGCTTAGATTCTGCCATCTATACAAGAAAAAGTGTGAAATATGCTATGAAGATAACAGACCTCTGCATTTACACGCTTAAAAACTTAGTTACACCGAAATTTTTGTGCACATTATTGCACAGTCACCCCTTCTAAGCTAAAGATGTGTCTTGTGATACTATCATGGAAATGCGTATAAAGCAGACATTAAAATTTATGGTAGATTAGGCAAACTTGGACTCGGATCCTACTTTTTTATATTCATACGAATGATTTAGGAAGTAATGTGAGCATCAAATCGCACGAGATTAAGTATAAGTTATATCGCTCCCATTGAGCTAGTCGCAATAGTTATGTTCGATCTTTGCGTTTGAAAAACTATGCATATGAATAAGGTTAATTTGTCCACGTTACCAGGCGGCCTTGTTGTGATGACCATATTCAACCAATATTCAAGCTGCTCATTTAACCACGACGGTGTTTGGTTGTCGTTCCGTATGGCTACCAAGTCAGTTAAAGATACTTACCTAAGTCTTACAAGCATCAAAACTGTCTAGTGGGAGTGTGTCCTAGATACCATACTGAAAGAGTGGTCGCAATCACTTGTTTACACAGAGTGAATAGCTAAAGGCGATAAAAATAAAATGCAAAGAAAAGCAAAAAAAGTTTGCAGATTTTATTGCTAGAAAGAGTGATATCAGTATTCTTAATATATTATCTTGTTCTTAATAATAACAGTTAAAACGTTCCATTATAAAATGTAACACAAGACGTGAAAGCTCAGGATGATGGTATATACAAATCTGTGATTTGCATGCCAGTTTTTGTGTATCATTATATTCAACGACAGTCAAAGGGCTTTATTAAAATGGCGATCGTTTGATGGTCTTCCACAGGTACTTTTTTCAAATGATATCGCTCGCTGGCACGAATAAGTACGTCGCTGCCGGACTTTCGTTTGACAATTTGATGGGAGATGATGCCGTTGTCGAGTGCATTGACGTCAATGGAAGTCTTGACATTAGGTAGGTTATAGACAAGAGAAAATGTTAGATCATATAAAATACTGCTCGAAAGAAACTGATTAAAGGCACACCTACATGACTGTCCTAGATCAGGATGGCAGGCCCTTCAACTAATTTTTGTTTGAGTTTCACAAGTCTTTCGCTTTCTTTTAAGGGAGCACCATAGCAATTCTATTACAATGTTGTTTAAACAAATATCTGTAATCTCTTAAAAGACATATGTTTAAATGACAAAAGAAGTGTCCACTTTCTAAGTTATTTCAATATTCTAACGATCTTATGTAACCATCAAAAAAAACGTAGCCACTGAAACGGCGATCGCTACGTTTGGCCGCAGTGAATAATAGATAGCTGCTAATTTGTAACCGGTTATGATAACAAGTACTGGCCTGTAGGTTGCCAATCTCTGGCCAACAGCCTAGTTGTTCATAATATGATGGCCGCAACAAAGCCTATGCCCTACCAAACCTGTAGAAACGGCAAAGCCACAAGACCTTAAGGCCGCCCAGGTCTGTTTAGCTGATTCCAGCTTAACTGTGGAGGGTGGGGGACGAGACTATGAATGAAGAACCCACTAATCAGGTCAACGATAGGGACAGCCTCAGTATGAATAGCAACTTAAGTCATTGTTTGCATGCTCGGCGCCGAAAGTACAGCCACGAAGGACAGGTGGTTGACGAAAGAGGAAGGTCAGATGAATGGCGTATGGAGACAAGCGGTTATATAAGAAGTACGAAGTAGTCATACCCGGACCATGAAAACTTACGCAAAGGAGGTCACGTGGACCCATAACAACAACAGACGGAAGTGCGAGGCACCGTTAGAGGACTGTGGGGGTTGCAAGGACGTAATGGACATGAATGGCAAAGGACGTAGCCGCATGGAGGGCAATGCTGCATGTACGCAGCGTGACTAGTAGCTGTAACCGAGCTCAATGACCAAGAATGTTTACAAGAAATAGGTGCTAGTTCGGACGCGGTTAGGTTAGGTTAGGTTAGGGAAGCCTTGGCCGGTAGGTAACACGATGTCAGTCTCCGGCCGATGGTTGATTCGTTCGCAATGCAAATATATATTGGGTTGTTGAAAAAATATTGACCGCTTTCAAGGCAAACTTGAGACAACTGTTTTCATACTTCGAAATAATATTATCATTATACTAATTCTTGGGCGGAAAATTGTTACGGTTGTTGGTGACGCAAGATCTGGCCTATACGGCAGATGCATTAAAGTATTTTAAATTATTTCGTGTTAGCTAAAAATGTATATGACCTCGCCCTTCATGTCTTTTCTGTTTGCTTGTGCCGGTCGATTTGTTTCAATGCTTTCTTACAACCTCATTAGTTGTTGACGGTAAGAGTCCGCAACGATTATTATTCTAAGCGGTACAAATTCATACAGCACAATGCCTTTCCAATCACGTCAAACATATGGTATCACTTTTTTTGGCGTCAGTCCGGACTTTCTTACAGATTGTAGAGCACATATCACTATTTCTTTTTCGTTGGCATGTTAACGTTATATGCGATCCACTTTTTGTTACAGGTATTCAACCGTTCTAGAAATATTTAAGCTTCATTGGGTTTCAGTAAAGTCTCGCAGATGGAACTACGATCGACTATATTATTTAACATCTACTCGTGTGGCGGACATCGGGTTTCTTTTATAGCAATTCTCCCTCAAACGGTTTAAAACTTGATGTTTAGTTCTTGGCGAAATCGCAGCTACTCACGTATCGCTCCTGTGCAGCTTTCGCAATCTTTAACTTTTCCGTCCTTGGTCGACCGCTCTGACGGGATTCTTTCATATCGAAATTTCCAAAACGAAAGCGACAGAATCGTCTTTGGGCTGTTTCTTCCGAACACTAACCAGCGTATTTTGTTTTGTATAAGACTGGACAGTACGTATGCGTTTTTGTTAATAAATTGCTAAAATAAAAATGGAATGTCACTCATTTTCAAGGCCCAAGTCTAAGGCATTCCAGTAATTTTAACGCATTTACTACTACTACCAAATTCCATATTTTAAATCACATCAACACTGGCCCATAACTTGAGATATATTTAATTTGTAAGTTTGTGAACGATAAATACCTTATTTTATATATGTTTATGCTTTATTTTTAAGACAGCTATTCCCGAGGAGCGTGTTTATTTGCAATAACCAGCATCCATCACCATTACAACTTTTATTTCGTAACGTAATAGTTCACTTAGGCTTGTTTAAGTTATACTCGAACAAAGCAGAAGTAACGATTTCGAGTACAAGTAGATACCCTCTTTAGCTTGATAAGGTTTCGCCCAGCATGGAAATAGATTAGCTAATAACTGAGCTTTGCTGAAAATCTAATAGTCATAAACTGTTGTGTGTAATGATGAGTTTGTTGCTTTGTTCTAGATATGTCCAGTAGCAGTTGAATGCATTCCCTATGAACAGTTGGCCAAAATTGTTTTTAACTTGAATGCGTCACCCTGTATATATCGAAATGGATTATTCTGGCTAGAGCTGCCTGATGAACGAACATTTTCAAATTGCAATGCCGATGACTCGAAACGATAATGGTGACTGAATGTAAATGTTTACGCAGGGAATCATTGAACAAAATCGTGGGCAAAAGGAAGGTCAATGAGGTACAGCCGTTATCGAACATCCAGAAGATCGCCCAAAGCTTGACTAATGGTGTGCACATATGCCAGTGGAGAAGACCATATGTCAGCACAGTAATGTCGCGCACGTATGATCTCAGAGATCGCTTTTACGTGCTTCTTGCTGTTGGTAGCGTGCGAGACGACGGCGGTAATACATTATCACAAGAGAATTTCACAAAACCTTGGTGGAACATTTTTTAACACAGTCATTTCGGTTTTGATAACGTTTACGGCATGATTGATTAACGACTTGATGCAATCAATTCAATCGTATGATATTTTAAACAAGGGTTTTACACGATTGAAGTAGATCTGTTAAATTGATTGAGCACTTTCTAACCATTCGCAGAAAAACGTCACCACGATTCGGCAATTGCCTCCTCATCTGCCGTAGACTTTAGTGCGATTCGAGTGGAGCGAGGTGATAACGCACATGTATGGGTACAGGGCCACGCTACCCTCATGATCGTCGCGTGGCTGTTCACTGCGTCGTTGGGCATGATGCTTGCCAGACATTACAAGAACGTTTGGGAAAACAAGATGCCTTGTGGCGTTAAGATGTGGTTTGCTGTACGCAAATATATGTATATATATATATCCATCCTGGTTAGATTAGTTGTATTCTTATTTAGCTATACCTGTGAAGGACCGAGTTTAAAAGTGCTTTTACAGCTACGTGGTATTATTTTGCGGTCCAATAAATAAAACAGGCTGATCCCAGCTCAAAGCTGAACTTCCGGGCAATAAATTTGTTCGTTGTTTGTAAGTAAGTAATAATAAAGTGCACTACAAATCGGCCGGCTTTAGTTTGGAAAAAAACGTCTTCATTGGTCAAACTTGTTATCAAGCCAATGAATTCATCAACAAACAGATTTGTCGCCCTTAGGCTTTTTTTTACATATAGAAATTAATGAACATTTTATTAATTTTTATTATTTTAATTTTTTAATAATAATATGAAAAACATTAGCTCTACTATACAGATGATTTTAATCAGATAAGGTAATAATAGGACATCGCCACCTGCCATACCATTACTTCTTACGTGTCTGTTACGCGGCGTCTAAAATAGCAGCGCCGATCGAAAAGCACATTTTTTTTTATCTGTCTTGTTTTTCAGCTTTATTCATAACTAAATCATTTAAAAGCTAACAAAATATGCTGCGATGCACAAATAGTTAATAACTTCACTTTTAGAGCCGTTAGGTAGTCTGCCTTGTTCCTAATAGGACTCTCTAGAGTTAAGCAGAAGGCCCCTGCCGAGCTAGTAATAATATACACATGTGTTGTAATATATGTCGTGGGTCACTTGCATTGTGGCTATAAAGCTGATTTGATTATGTTTTTGGTTTAATTAATTGATCTTTTAACAACAAAGTGCCTATTGAGTAAGGCACAAAACGGTTGTTTACAAGTAAAAGATTAGACAGCATTCACGACTATAAAAGTCACAATCAATTTCATTTCGAGGGTATTGTGTCTTTTTATTTTAACGCATTTGACCTTTTTTCATAAAATACGCCTACGCCAAACTCTAATGGATTTTTGTGCAGATATAAGCTTATGTTATTTGGACAAATTGTGCACTATGCGTATTTACTTGTGCTCAGACTAAGGAAGCGCTAAGTAGTGCAGATCTTCTTTTTCTCATGAAAACCGAAAACGTTTCTAGTGCCATCGTGTGTTCATGGTGTTGACCTTGCTGCTGTCGTTGGCCGGAGTAGCGGTCATGTTCTATCGATTCGGAATCTTTACTCCAGAGACCGGATGGCATCCCATCTTCGGACTCATCTGCGTCGCTTTATGCATATGTCAACCAATCATGGCGTTGTTTCGCTGCCATCCTGGCACCAAACGTCGTCCACTCTTTAACTGGGTGCACTGGTTTGTTGGAAATACGGCGCAGATAACAGGAGGTACGTATGGTTTAGCTTGTCATAATGCATGAGACATGTATGTCCTTGTTCCGAATGCTTCAGCGTTTGCCAGATGTTTATTAATATAGGAACGATTCTATTTTTCCTCCTAGATTAATACCTGCTGTAAATATAAGACAAACAATTTGCAGTTATCGTACACGAGGTTTGCGCGGAGTGTTTTGAATTCGAAGGTTTCCTTTGCGATTGCTAATATTAGTCAACTGTTATGTTCTATTTTCAAATTACACTCTTCTGATACCCGCGGATACAATAGTAGAAAAGGGAACACAATACCGTTAGGTCAAAATCTAATTATGATGAGAAAACTGCTGGTCATCAGAAGGATCGACAAGTAAAAGTAGCATATTTTGCCTTGCATCTACCTCCCATGTACAAGTTCCCTTGTACTTGGGAGGTAGAACTTGAACCAGTGAACATCCTGTGTAAATGTTTCCACTCTTTAGATCTTTTGTGTGTCGCAATCCTATTGCAGCAACTCGATAATATTGTACACCTAACCAAAGTGCACAAGCACTTATTTATTATAGTTTTAACCTGAAGGCTAAGGCGGTGGTAAGTATTTTCAGTCCTAACGGATTTTCTAATTAATTAGTTGAATACTTATGTGCAATATAACGACTGCCCTGGTTAAGGTCGAAATGTTCGTTTTTAATGCAACATTCACTCCCAATTTCTACGATAGTGGTGGCCATTTTCCTGGTAGTGGACCTCCCCAAGGCCGAGCTTCAGAACGTGCACTGGTTCATCTGGCTTATAGTCGCTTTCGTCGTCTTCCACGTCCTTGTCCATTTAATCTTACAGATACATGGATTCTCCGTTGACAAACGAGGTTTGTCTCTTGTGGGGTGATGTTTTATTTATGTATGAATCAATCGAAGCTTCATTTATGTATCAGCCAATGTACAAACAGTACTAGAATCACGATGAGGTCTAAAAAATTCTGAAGGCTACGTCTACACAGCTTGATTTAAATATTGAAGGCTGTTATCGCTTGATCTATTAATGTCATGTTCAGCGTAAGTGTTTATACATACTTGAGTAGATTACAACTAAGTTACATATGATAAGCTTAGGGCAATGTCTTTAGCGCTAAAAATTAGTAAAGCCGCAAGATTTTTACACATTTTTGGCAAAGTATAGGAATTTATCGAATAATGCGTTGTCCATTATTTTTCGATATTCTTGCCTATTTTCCGTTAACTTTAGATTTAACAGAGATACTATTTGTTCATATACCATTTTATGTACCTTTACTAGTACTAGTAGTAGGATAAAAGTACAAGTACTTTTATAAAAAGTATAATAGATTTGTGACGAAAAAAAAGCCGAGACTGTATAGATAAACCGGACTACCTTAGCCTATATTTACAGTTGATAAAATATATAAAATGTGTGTAAAAAAAAACAATCCGCATAGGCAGTCGTCGTGCATTTATTCATCAAAGAGATTCCTTAGGCTTTTTTTTTTCTTTTGGACTTACTAAATACCTACGTACCTGGAAAGAATTATAGCTTTTAACGATATTTTGCAGTACTCGTCTTCGGTTTTCAGTTAGCATATGCTTGTTTCGTTTGTAATTTGATTGTAGTATCTACGGTGCCGGATATCCAGCTGCAGACTATAGGCTTTAACAACACAACTGTGATGTCATCACCTGCAGCATTGGTCGAAACCAAGAACTCCCCGGGCAGCGACTTCCAACGATTCGTGCTTGGTATCTACATCATCGGATTACTTTTCATTGCCGGCGCTATGGTTGTCGTTATATGGCTAACAGGCTCCGATCTTTTGTAATTATATTATAGCGAGGATTACTCCCTCGTCAATGTATCTAACGCCCCCGCGACAGGACCTAAATGCAACTTTTGTACTCCAACGATGTGCCGCGCCATTTTCAAACCACAAATCAAATATGATATGATAATATTAATAAATCCGTTGTGGTGCTCGAGACGCTTAGTCTGTAACTTAAATGTTGTCCCAGATTTTGTTACGAACTTGCCTCGCCCTGGTTCACCTTCCTCTCGTTAAACACTTTTAGTTCAATTTATTCAAGTAATTATTTCGTATGAGCTATGCATACTCTCACGCAACCCTGTGATTAGACATACGTCTCCAATCGAACGCTCTAAGAGTACAGAACAACTTCCATAATGAAATATGACTAAATAATAACAAATATATAATTCGAGAATAACATTAGTGCGGCCAAAATCCTGGTCAGCGTTAGTAGCTTATCTAAATCCGACTAGAATATGCTCAAAATGAATTGTCTAACGGATCTGCTTTAGCATCATATTTTTTGTTAATGATATTTATTAGGACGATTACTTGTTAATTTCCAAAAAATAAACAAACAGACAAAAATTACAGCCTTCATCGCTACATACCACACATTTAAGTTAGCTACTCTTCGGTCGAACTGAAACCACCTAACCTACTACGAACACATTAAGGATTGCTCTATGTTAATAAAAAAAATCGTCTCGACTCTAGCTAGCTCAAGTATGTAATAAATATGCAATTAGGTGACGTTATCTTTCTTGTTGTCTCATATGCGTTGTATAGTCCCAAACAGAATAATATTACTAACAAAAAAAAACTAACAGCGTCGAGTATTTTCACAGAGTTTTTGCATATGTCGCTGTTATAGTTTAATAACGTTATATTTCGTGACAACGATTGTATAGTTTTCCGTTACAAAAATCAAAATATAATTCCGTTACAAAAAATAAAATCAACACCGCAGTGAATTTATTTCGGGTCGATTATCCGGACATTTGTTTCAGAGAAACAGAAATGTACTCAAACTTTACAGACAAGAGATCAACACAAATAAATTTTTAGCAGAGATTATTTTCTGTTGAGTTTTAGTTTATTAATATCAACCTCCTGATAAAAGAGGTAGATTAAGAGCATTTAATTGACTAACTAACATTGGGATCTGGTTGGTCTTAGGCAGTTCCCCATCCATTGATATTATCTGTATGGCTCTGCGAACAACACCGTTCTTTCTATTGTTCATACGTGCTGTAAAGTCCTTGCGATAAGAACGGCGTTCGAAAGCTGGAGAGACGCAAAAGGTCTAAAGAGCGAAGGAAATTAAGTATCAAGCCAACTGTCACATTTGACACACATGACGCAACAGCCATCTTCGTTGTCTTCAGGCTCAGTCTGGTTCATCCGAGGTTCAGGCAAGTTTACACTGAGTTTTATTGTGATGCGAAGTCAGTATGGGGAGCCTTCCTTTTGTAATAATTTGAAAAAGTATCATACGTGCGTTTCTCATTGTGTCAAAAGCTATGTAATGAACATCTTTATTCATAACCGAGGCACACGAAGCTGTTTCTCCCTTAATGATCCATTGGTTTGGGTCGGGATTTGGAACTCACTCGTTCACCCATTTAGTTAAGCGATCACACCCACTGAGCCATTATACTCCGACAAAGCTCGTTGCATAACTTCGCCTGTTCCTGCTAGCAGACGAAACGTTATCCGCCTCTTTTCGCTTTCCACGATTCTTCTTTTTTGACCGTAATCCTGTCTCAGAGTGCCGTTCTCAGGCGCGTTTTCCGTATTGAGAGGTCATGCTGTCTAACATGTCTCCTCCCGAGCTCTTTGCTTTTATGTCCCATCTCTTGCCTAAGCGGCCGGTGTGTTTCACAGCTAATGGGTGAGTTCCGCGTCATTTGTTCCTCCAGTGCATATGGGTTCACTGCTTTACCTTTACTTAGGCCTAGGTGTTTCAGGCCAAGGATGAAAGCACCGCTTTTGTGATATCGATATCAACACAAAACTAGCTACGGAATATCTAAGATGCAGCAACTGTTTCGCTCCGTGGTCTTGACGCCACATATTCGCAACAACCACTTTTCAGCTACCTACAGCCTGTTTTTTCATTCCCCCGCTGCCTAAAATTTGGCTGCGGTGATGATGTGCGGAAGAAGTGTCACTGAAGAATGGTCAGAGAAATGCCATTTTGGATTTGACATTACCTAAGAGATTAGCAACGAGCAAGCTTTTATATTGTTCTGTAGGACATCACCTTCATCTAAAAAAGTATGTGTATGAACTTGATAGAGTTTATGGAAGACTTGTTACAGGGGTTAGAGCCCCGTGCGGGGTCGGCAAAGAGTTTAGTAGATAAACCAACTTGCGATCTTCTTAACGAAGTTCTTAGCGAAGTCTTAGTAACATATTGTATCAATGCTTTCTTAATAATATCAATATTACAATTATATGTTACTAAAATGGTACTGTTGTACTTTCTCTTCTTTCGCTTGGCTTCAAATAGTATTTGCGTCATGCTTAATGAGTATATATATACCAATGCAAGAAACGGCGTACGTTAGCCGAGAGGACCAGTTCACTGAGGAGGCCGGCGATGCCCGGAGACGTGCTCGGAGAGAGTGGCGCCGGGTCAAACGCCAAAGAACTGACAAACCATAGGCGCTGGTTCTATGACGTAATTGTCGGGCACGAGTACAGGGCACGAAAACAGACCATTAGCGGTATAACATATCGGTGCTTATGGGTTTTTCGGGTAGATAGCAATTTCTTTTACGGTACAGGACATTTTTCCTAAGAAAGGAACTACGCAATGAACGTGGTTAGAAGGCTTTCCTGCATATTTAAAGGTGGTGTCGTTAGTGTATATGATGACAGTGCATTTCACTGCATTCTTTATATCGTTAACCAAACACAAAATTATTACTGGGCATGCACTTAGAAAGACCTTTAATTCAAGGTTTTGCTTCTCTAGCGGCGTTGCCCCAACATCAATTGGCGACGCACAGGAATCACCGTGAAACTGAATCTGAGACGGCAAACTTCGAAAGCTGTACATCCGCTGGTGTACTACATCGAAGGTGTGCTATGGGTCCTCAGCCATTAACGGTGCGCGGTTCAATCAACGTTGGTAGTCATTGGCAGAGTCCCGTGTTTCCATCAATCAAAATCAGTTTTGATTGAAAGAACTGTCTTTTTTTTTTTTTTTTTTAAACACAAAGATACCTGCTGTATCAATATTTTGTCGACGATTTTGTTTAATATAAAATGCATATTAATTGGGCGACACTGAGCAGAATCAACTGTAACTCCGTTTTTGCGGATCAGACCGATGCGGGTTGTCTTATTTCATTGGATAAGCGTAACATATTTTTTTCAAAAAAAGATTTACTGTCACAGAGATGGCAGACACGATGCCAGAGTGGGCGACATCCAACAATAATAATAATGACTGTTGAGTTTGTTGTGGTTACAATAACAACAAAAACATGTTTGATTGTATATACTTCTAAGCTCTGCTACGCTAGTTGATAAGTTGATCGCCCTTAGAATTCATAGGCACTTAGTGTCCTAAATATATAATCATCTAGAAAACAAATCCTTTCGTATTCAGTTTCAGCAGGCATAGAGTTTGCCAACCCGGCATTTTGAAAAGATCTTACCTCGAATCAATTTCACTACCCATTTAGATATAAAATACGCGATTTTTTTTTCTCTTAAATATTAGTTAGATTCATATAACCGTTCATAGTTTAACTACGTTCATCTCAATGATTTAAATAAAAGGGCATAATTGTTTCTGTTCTTAGCCTGAAAGACATATAATGGCATATTTTAAATGCGGATGCTACACCCATGGTCAAATCTATATGAGATCATGGCGTCCTTGTAGCACCCACTTGGCATTGAAACGCCCACATTATGCAAGAAATCTAAGCCGGAATCCTAATTTGAAATCTTTCATACAAAAAACTTTGAATCATTTTAACAATTTCGTTTGATTAAAATATACTGCCGTAAAGCCTGACAGCCCTGTCTAAAACGACACCACAGAGTTCACGAGCGTGTAGAATCTATATTTATTCGGCGTGTGCCATGAAAACATATAATCAATAACGAAGTCACAACACTGACATCAGTCTTAAAACTCCAAGATAATGCCGATAAGCGTATGTTTTATCGCCTTCAGAAGTCCCATCGTGTTTCCAAGTATTTTAATCTGCATCCTCAGCAATGGGATGAGGATGACACCTGCTGAAACAGCTAAAATCTTAGGGGTGTATTATATATGTTTACGTAAATATGTTTGAAGTATTTATAATGCAGAGCTGGAACATTTATCGCATACATCACAAGATGCTTAAATATCATCTGTGCACGATAACTGTCTTTTTTTTTTAAATAAAATAGAGATTACTTCACTTCATCTACATTCCGCGAGATTTGAGCTTCACATTATTCATCAGTACTATTCCTCAACTGAAAACTGACTCTGAGAACATTTGTCAATCCTTTTTATATCACTAGGTGAATCGAGATTCATGTTCAGTGCTGTCTACTAGATTTTATCAGATCCACTGATCACGTAGGGACAAAGAAAAGGATCGAGGAGAAACAGTAATACACCCTGATTTATATTAAAAACTGCTAGCCTTTCGTAACAGACATAACACACGCGATCTCAGCTGTTTCGAATTTGGTCTCGCGTCCTGAACGACGAACTATGTATTATCGATAATTGTTAAAATTTATTATAGCAGGATAGTATTACGTATGCTTGCTTCACTGCAATACCATTACTTGCCACAGTTAATAAGAAATGATCGTAATAATATTAGTAACCACGAGATTTAAAGCCTTTTCTCAATAGTAAGTACAAAATGACATGAGTTAACTCTAGAGAACCAGTCGAATCTTGCCCAAAGCGAGAAATTTTTCCATGCATTTGGTTAGCATAATATAAAGGAAGTGTTCTGCTTTAAGCTTCTAGACTTTCCTCAAACTCTTAATGCAGAACATTATAAAAGTTAACTAATTAAACTAAACAGTATAGTTGAAAAGAAAATATTTTTACCGATCAAACAAAATGCAAACAAAGACCCACAAGACCTGACTCTCGCAGAGCATTGATGACATCAGTTTTTGGAAGTTGAAATAGCTAAGGAATAAGTTTCCGACTACTACGTCAGTGATTCAGGGAATTCGCAAACTATCCGGTGAATAATAAACAACCATATATCATAGTCGTTTAATTCGATCGAAGTAACAATGCTTACTTCGGTGACTAAGATTTTAACACCATTTTTGAAAAAGTAAAAAAAAAAATGGTCAAATTAACTGCGAATTCGTATGGAATGATTGTATTCTAATTTTCATACAGGTCTCAGGCTCCATGAAAAAAAAATGGTATTATTTCGATTAGCTTATGTGAAGAAAATCGCTCGAAAAAACATTGAAACCTACAAATAGTTAAGGAAAACTTAGCAACTTAGGACGACTTGGTTGCTAGCTGGCTCTAAAACATTATTTACAATGAATTTTACTTCCGTTGCTGCTTACTTACTCACTGTACGCTGCAAATTTAGTTATTGGAAATTTCATAGGTTGTGACTACGTATCGGATGTCTATAAAGCGAGTGAAAAATGTACCCGAAAAAATCATTAGTAACATCTTAGATGGACACTAGATCGAGGCTATTTTTTTTTATTATTGAGAAATTAATATTATTTTCGCCGTCGCGTGACTAAAACAACAAAAACGATTTATCTACGGTTTGTTGGCATCTTTTTAAGGGTACGACGAGGCAAATTTTCTGGAAAAACTGGATTTCTAAAAAGACTCTGCTTTCCCAACAAATAACTAGCATAAAGTATTAACAAAGCTCCAAACTATTTTTCAATATTACATAATTTAAGATGATTTTTTCGGCCTTGTCATAAGTAGGTGCCTTGGTGCTAGTTCTTCTTATTTTATATGTACCGGACGCATACATTGATTATATACTTGTATGCATATCCCTTAAAACATAAATGCACATTTTGCAAACTGT